ATCTAGCTCTGGCTCTGTTATCTGAGTGTAGTTCATTCGCATTGAAATGCCATACTCCTCCAGTCTTCTATAAACAGTTTTATCGCACACGCATAACATCTTGGAAATGTCAGTTGCTTTGAAACCATATTCAATAAAGTATTCAAGCTGTTCTCTTGGAATGTAAAATTTTGGACGTCCTCTTATGCCGGTTTTAATCACTGGAGGTGCATAACTTGTACAGTTAAAATAATCGTCCCTGTCGAGAATGGCAAGTAATTGCTGGGCCTCTTGTAGGCGAGGCAGTAGGTTTTCTCCAAGACTTCCTCCAAGCCTCACAAGCACTGAACAGAGCCATTCAACTCTGTATCTAGCAAAGTCAATGCTATGATCCACATCTCCACACTCAAGCTTATTAAGAACATCAGCTAAAATGCTTCTCACATTCTGGGTTATCAATTCAAGCGGGGACTGATGTTGGCCTTCGTGAGCCATTTTCCCACACGTGCGACTCGATTTTCAATTGTACGTCATGTAATTATAAGTCGTATGTCTCCACACTAACACGAGATCGAGGTTTAGCCTTCCTCGCTTTACCGCTGACCAAATGGTGACTACGGCCGAACGATAGTTATGATCCGATGGAATGCTGTTTTCACAGAGGTACGGATAAATGTGAAATACCACAGAGGAATAAACCAATGTCATATAGCTTGCGACAAAATAATTGAAGTACGATCGAATGGAAGAAAGGCACGATCCAATGGAATGAAAGTACGATCGAATGGAATGGAAGTACGATCGAATGGAAGAAAGGTAGGATCCAATGGAACACGGATACGATCCAATGGAATGCAAGTCGCGATTAGATTGCATTTTTGTCCAGAATGCCCCTGCATAGAAGCAGTTTACTGTCCAGGGTAATACCGTATATTTAGACATACTGCCAAAAATATTGGAGCAGTATAATAACACCAAACACAGTTCCATTAAAATGACTCCTGTAGAAGCTAGTAAAAAGAAGAAGGAAAATACCGTGTATTTCAATCTATATGGTGATATGGAGCAATTGTCATCTAAGCCCAAATTCAAAGTTGGGGATAAGGTCAGGATAAGCAAGTATAAGAGAAAGGTGTTTGATAAAGGGTACACACCTAATTGGACAGAGGAGATATTCCTGATCGACAAAATCCAATCCACAAACGGAATCACATACAGATTAAAAGATCTCAATAATGAGGCAATACAAGGCAGCTTTTATGAGCCTGAATTACTACCAGCAAAACAGAACGTATTTCGCATTGAAAAGGTCATTCAGAGGGATTATAAGAAGAAACAAGCTCTGGTAAAATGATTGGGCTATAGTGATGACTTTAATAGTTGGATTCCACTGAGCAACCTGCAAGAATTATCTAACTAATAGTATATATGGAGGATCATATAAGAAACCTTTATACTAAAATCCAGAGTAAGGAAACCGAGCTTAATGCACTATTCACTAAAATCCAAAAATTGGAAGAAGAGATTGCGACATTATACCACAAGAAATTAATCTCCAAAAAGCTGGAATTAGCTGAGGTGACATTAACTGGCGTCCTTAAAGCAATCTTTGAAACGGAGGAAGAGGAGGAGAATAAGTAAACTATTGTCACAAACTAAAAATTTAATACACCTTTTTTACATTCCATAATTATATACATAATATATATATGGAAGATTTTATCCGTCTTTTAGCCAAACAACAATCTCTATCAGGAGGCACTAGTTTGATATCTATGTATATTCCTCCAAATGGTAGAGTAAGCCTTAGTAAACAAAAGTTGACCAATGAAATGGGACTTGTCTCAAATATCAAGTCAAAAGTCGTACAAAAACACACAAAAACCGCTCTAAAATCAGCATTATAGCAACTAAACCAGCTAAAAGAACCAAGAATTTCATGCTGTGGGTTGTTACTACTATCTGGCATCATAAAACATACTTGTGAAGGATACAAAGGATCAGTACTCATTGAGCCTGAGCAAGCAATAGAAAAAGGGGATTATAAATGCGGCAAGAGCTTTTATTTAGATCCTATTTTAGATACTTATAAAAAGAAAATAATCGAAGATCATATCGTGGATAAAATATTGGAAATGATTCAAAAAGCAGAAACAGACAAAATAGATTTTGGACTCAAAAAAATAACCAATAATCATTCTCATGTTGTATTCACAAATGAGGATAAATATCAAAAATATCAAATAGATCCTAACTCAAAAACCAAAATAATATATAGTCAAAAGCTATTTCAGTATGGCGATATAGTTGGGCTTAGATATTATTAGACAATAGATTGGGAGTAAAAACGAGGTATAGAAGCAAAATGCTTCGACTATTTCCCAGATCAATGTAGATTATTATGTAAAGGATCACGGTCGTTTTTCACAATTTTTGACAAGATTTTCACGAAATGCCCTGTATATGCACTTTTTTCGAAATTGGGTCTATATACACTTTTTACCATTTTGGAACTTTTAAAATTAGCCAAAATCACCAGATCGAGACCCTCGTTCCGCTCTATGTGCACTTTTTAGTGATGGGAAAAATGGCCGTGATCCTAGCCGTAGTCGCCACTATCCAAAAACCTGAAAATTTGCAAGCAATTAATGAAAACAAAAATGATTCAACCTTAGTGTTAATTGGGCTGAAGCTAACTGGGCACATGATTCTCTTTACCTTTGCTTTGTGATTAAACTTGCTTTCATTGCATTTTATCACTGCTGCTCCTCCAAAAGGTACAAATGGGTTATCTATGTCCAGGGAACATACATCTTCCAGACTTTGGAAACGTTTGCACACAAGGTTGTTGTTTATTGACAGCATGCGGGCAGTTTTCTGCTGACTCATGTCCATTGACCAGAAATAAATTAGAAGAATCAGCTCTCTAAGGGATATTTTTTTGATATTGCTCGAAAAAGCTTCTGGAGCTGAGACTGCGCTTATTCTTACAAACAGTACATCTCCTAAAAGAAAGAAATCATATCACAGGATTTTGTTTCACGATGTATTTAAACATCAAAATGGCAATATCGCTAACCCTAACACCCAACGACGGTTTCCTCCCAAATACATTATCCTGCTTGGGTTAACAGGCAAGACAGGGCTGTGGAACCTGGCGGTGGGAGATGATGTTGGGAACAAGCTATCTCACGCAGGTAAACCATCAGGCATACCGAGAGTATAAAGCCTTGGTTTAATGACCGTTTATCAAAAATATAACATAAGTGTTTAGAGTACTTATCCTGTACACAGATGATGTTTTATTTTTCTTTTCGTTCATCCCGTGGTTTATTTTTTAATCACATGCCCTCGATGGACTTTGAAGAGAAAATACAGCATTTGTGAACAGGCTTTATAGTACTCACCACTGAAAACCATCAACGTGGTTGCCCCCATGTTCATTTAAAATCATGTCCCTGTGACAGGCACCACAGTGCAGGGAATTTGCTAATAAACTCCGGAGCTGAAGCCATCTTATAACTGACGAAACTGGGCCATGCCTTAACCTGGTAAAATATTCAAGATCCTTTTGCGATTCAAGTGCTACGTTCTTTTAGGGATTTGCTTAGAAGATTTTACACAAAACTGTGATTTGGCAAAAAAAAAAATGAGAGAAAAATAGCGAGGCTCAATAATTTCCGGTTCTAACCGACTGATTCCCTTGTGGCCTATAGGTGCGTTGCATATGCATCAGCATTTATAATTCAAAACAATAGGAAAAAATTCATTCTGCTGTTAAAAAACAGCAAACATAGACCGAATTGTACATACAAGATGTTAACGTCAACTTTTCAGAGCATTTTATCGCCCGCTTCTGTAGCAAACAAGAAACACCCACCTACTCACGTGCCCACAATTACACTGTCAACGCTTGCTGTCACAAACACTGAAAGAGCTCTTCTTTTTTATTATTACTTATTGTTTATCAACCCTTTTCTATAGTTCCTAATATGAATGTGAATAACCGGGAAAATTAGCGAAAAAAACATTTTAAAGCAATACATGCAATGTTCTTTTTCATTTGAGAAATGGAGTGAAGCGAACTGTTTAATTTTTAGCCACGTCATTATAAAATTTAAAGCCCTTTGTTCCAATGCTGCATGTAATGTGAGATACAGATCCGACCAGATCAAGCATTCACCAGTGACAGACGGAGTAAGTGGTAGTAGTAGCTCAGAAGACGAGAGAGAGAGATCTGAATCTCCCCCTTGTCCAAAAAACACAAAGAAAGTCAACAGATTATTTGGGTGGCTTTCCAAACCGTTGAAAGCCACCCCTTGTGGGTCCAATTGGGATAAGTTAAACTGAGACACAAGCGTGAAGGACATAGAGGTAGATGCCGGTCACAGTGAGAGGCGTTTGAGGGAGCGAATGATAGAAAACTTCCCTGCATTGGCTGCAGCTGACTTGTCAAGGTAGGAAATATTTCCTTTCTGATCCATCTCAAGCGACAAAGAGGTCATGGTACATGTATGTTTTGTGAGGGTGGGGTCGCAACAGTTGCTCGCCTAATACAAGTATTGTTTGAGACAGTTACTACATGTAAGAAGAAGACAAGAATCTCCCAAATCTTGTACTCATACAACGTAGTAATCGTTGTCTTCGAATGCAAAGCTCAAATAAATGGGTGTGTTTTAGATCCTTACTACAACAATAATAATAATAATAAAGTCTTTATTCATCAAAAGATAAAAATACATATCTTTTGTTACAAGTGTAAGAAATTTTAAAAAGTTAAAAAGTAAGAATTAAAAATATATATATATACATCTAGTACATTACATAGCTAATTCATATTTAAATACCAAACGATTAAAAATAAAGAGTTTTTAAATCGCATAATCTTACGTTTAAAACAAGTTTCTTTCCTAAGATTATAACTGGACAGTTTAACACGAGACATAATAGATAAAATTATAATAGATACGTATTTGCAATGCAGCTCTTTAAAAATACTAGAGTAAAACCGGTTCAACCACAATGTACCGCGTGTGTTGTAGTAAGCAAATGCGAGCCAGGCAAGCACGTGCCCAGGGAAATATATCAGTTTTAAAAAATTTGGGAAAATTCATGGGAACCAACCCATAAAATAATGTTTTCAATTTTTCTTAGTAATGCACAACTGTATTTTTTTCTTGGCACTCATGGAAGCCCTAAACTTGACATGCAATGTACTTTAGGAGAGATTGAAGGTGACAGATAATAGAAAATTAATATACATGTACTAATCACTTTCTAAGTCTCATGTATAAGCCAAGTCATAACTATGGAATTGTTGCAACCATTCAGAAATTTGGGTAAGAAAACAACAAAGGCTGAAACTGTCACTGCATGTGGACCCTTTTTATCCATTATTTTAAGATCACACTACACTGTACCAAAAACTAACTTTACTGTACTGAAAACGATTATTTCCTTAAGGAGGTACCTGGCAAGGATAGCTACATCCACATCCATGTCCACATCAACATCCATGTCCACGTCCACGTCCACGTCTACAGGAAAGAGGCGATGGTAAGAACTACATGTATGGGTAGCATGATATGACGTGTACAACATACACCCTTGATTTTGTTGTCAATTTTTGAAGTATCTGGTGGGCATGTTGACATATTGGTAAATTACCCTAAAACTGAGAAAAATTCAAACAAAACAATAATTATAAAACAACATACACACTAGAACCCTAGTAATTTGAACTCGGGAGGGAAAAGTGAACCAGTTTGAGTAATCGAGGTTTAGAGGTTTATGCCACCAGAATATTTATTAGCAGTAATGCACACAGAAATGAAGTTGAATAAATTAGTATAATATATTTCTTTAAGCCATGCTGAGACGAACGAAGGTAATTAATCGGAGAAACAAAAACTGCCTAGATGCAATTTCTGTCATCAATCTTGCGCCGTAAGTTTGATTCACCCTCATTTATGGAACAATGGGATAATGTTCGTACAAAAATAAACACTAAGTTAGAGTTAAGATGACCTTTGCACAGCTTCGTCAGTAAACATTTCTGCAAAGAACTTTGATTTTGCAATTTTAATATAGTTCTACCCATAAATCCAGTAGGTCCCACCATTCACTGTTTATACTTTTCAAGCGACAACGTTTTTTCAATCAAATACTATTGCTGCAATCGCTGAGGTATAACTTTTTCTTTCTTGATAGTTACCAAAAAAGGGTGCCGTTCAAAATCATTTACGGTTCCTTTTTGTAGAGGAAACTTATTTAGCTTATAGATAACACACCTTTTGCCTTTGCGCATACTGAAAGCGTGTTGTGCTTTTTCGCACGGAGCTTTTGTTTGAAAACTTTAACACGCTCTTTTGTTCGACTTCCTCACGCTTAATTGTCTCAAGCGTGTCCTCTGAAACAAAAGAAATTGCTAATGAGGCAAGATTGCAAGCGTCCTATGCGTGTTAAAATAAATTCTTTTGTTTTAAAGTGAAAGCGTGTCGTGCACGTGCTTTCACCTTTAGCATTAAAATCCTGTGGAGGGTCACAATTATGTAAACAAGGTAATATATCAGAATTTCGGGTGTTTCTTGCAAATATTCATAAAACAGACATCGACATTAGCAGCTTGTAAATATATATGTATTTTATCATTTTTTTCCATTCGTAAAGCCATAATACAGATACATCTACGTTTCCGGGCAGTAAAATTAGGTTCACAGATTCCCCATCTAAACTACTTATGTGACATTACACGCCTTCTTTACTACAAAATAATCTAAATAATTTACTTTCTGTTACTTAAGAACAATATAATACATAATTTCAAGGGAAAAAGATGCTTTTTACTTTACTAATGCTCGCAAAATCCAAATTTCCCTAACTTCCTTCAACAACAAAAGCTGTTTTAGTTTTATTAGTAGAAATGTTGCCTATGGTAGTGCAAAAAGATATAAAATATACTAACACAGACAAAAAAAAACACCAAGTAATCCTAATGTACCAATTTTTGTTTTCAAGGATTTGAATGGCCTCACGGATGGCAACAAACTAACAGTATGTACATTAATTTATTTGCAATAATTTGTAACAGTTTTCGTCTAAATCAACACTTAAACACTTATGTCAATTATTTAACTTCACGTGCACAAACTTCAACAAACATGTCTTAACGTATGAAACCCTCCAACATCACACCTTTTGAGACTTGGACATTACTTTTAACATTTGGATGCCAGAAATTGTTTTTGAAGAAATAAACAGAGAATTGGCGCGATTAAAATATTAAAAAACATCCTAACACGGTCTTTCCTTCTCTCTTCCCTCGTTTTTTTTGTTATTTACTATTTTATTGTGGGGTCAGTTGTTTTAGCTCACGAGCTTTACAGACACTAAACTAATTATTATCTTATCATTTTTTTAGACACTACAGCAGCTACACATGTAAAAAAAGACTATCTGATTGATAAACGAATCATTATTACTATTTCAAAATAATAATAACTATTAAAAAAGTCATGCATATCACAAAATATTTTTTCACAATAGATCACACAGTTTCTTATTTCACTGTAAAAGAAGAACCCATGGATGGTATGTATGTCGATTTGTTGTGATTTAAATAAACACTTAATGTAGACTACAGTTAATGCATGTAATACATATTGGCAAAGTTATTTTCCTTGTTTTGTATAAACAAATTGCTGCCATTTAAAATGTGGAGAATAATACAATTAAAAAGTTTACTTTCTGCACACTTCAGTAATACAATTATCACAGATTCTTTTTGTACAAATACTGATGACAAAATACAAACTTAGGTCCTAACAGTTGTATGATCTGCAACTGTTCTATTTATAAAACAGTCTGTCAAGTAACTGTAATTAATTTTTTAACTGGTGGGTACGCGCGAGCGTACCACGAGTCATTGTAGGGACAGGGATATGCAAATGAGTCACTCGCTCACTCGTAGTAGACGCACTTCGGGTCCGAACTCGAGAGCGCGAAGATCTATCGTTTCCAAAGAAGCATGCGCTCGCCGATGTTCGGTGGCATCAAATTCCTCGCTGAGAGCGTGCATCGTGCACTACAGCACGGTTAGAGGATAGAGGTCTTACCAAATTTAAGACGCGCAGAAATCTTTCAGATAAGTACGATTCAAGAGCCTTTGACTCGTTCAGGCGCTAAATTTAACGAGAAGATGAGCATTTGCTCTTCGACTCCTTGAACTTCGACGCTGGCTTGATCTCCTACCTTGTAGTAATGTAGTAGGTTATGTGTATGAATGAATTTATGGTAAATAAAGGCACTTCTTCTTCTTCTTCTTCTTAAGTACTCCCCAAGGTCACAGGGAGAAATGGGTGTGATTTTGAGCATTAGCTTTAAAATGACAGCGAAAATCGAGATAAGAAAACATAAGCTTAAGTTTTGCGTCCTACTTCGCGGAG